CATTGTGACACGGTAGCCAGCCAAGATTGCATTAAGGACAATTTCAGCCTGTGTCAGGCATCTGACAAATGAGGAAATTAGAGTCATAGAAGTTCTTCAGCATGAAAAAAAGCTAATCCCTTGAGTTCCTCTTGGTTCTGCTGGCCTCAGCAGTCACAATGCTGCTAAACTCCAAGCATGCAGATGCTCCAAGACTGCTGTCAATCTCATTCCAGCTGGAACATATTTACTAACTTTAAGCCTGCTAGTCTGCTCAGCCCATTTGTATAAAGAAGTGGCAGCTCAGTGTTAATGCAGACTTTCCTCCACAGGGAAAAAAACCCAGCAAGGGTGATAATATGATAAAGAGGAGCGAACCTATGAAATGACTATTTCATACTGCGATGGGAGGAAGAGTGAATAATTTACACATCTGCTTTGGAAGCTGAAGCCAAAGCGCTAAAGAGTAAAATAGCATTGAAACCTATCCAAATTAATTCTGAATCCATTTTTAATTTGGATTTCTCTTGTATCTTGAGCTGTAGTACTTGATCCTGACAACAGCAGGTTGAACACATTAGGTAGGAACTTTATTGGATCAGCAATTCTTCTACAGGCTGGTACATCAGAGAGAGCAGTGGAAACGCCTTGGAATGCCCCTTCTTTGTGAATGCATTTTCAAACTTCTGTGCCTAGAGTGGGGCTTGAATACCCCTTTGTATAGTTTTAGGCCTGATAGTCAATGACTGGCATGTGTAATTACGCCCACACAATTGCATGTACATGATTTGCACATATGCAGATTGGATATTTATTTATGCATATGGCCAGCTGTACACTTTGCTGGTCAGGTGTACAAGCAAATACTTGATTTGCATATGCATATGTGATTTTGCATACACAACTGTATGTACTGTATAAGGCAGTGGGGTATTTCTACAGCAAAATAAGACAAAGTAGTAATCGGCAAGGTCTTTTATAAGTAGCAAACCTCTAGGACCATAAATCAAGGCAAGCTGCCATAAGCCAAAGGAAACTTAACAAAACCCCTTCACTTTCCTCAAGTTCAATGCTGTGAGGTGTAGAGCGGTGGCTTCTCACAGGGATTTTTCTCCTGATGTCTCCCTGTCCCGGAACGCTACACTCACCACTGGAGCGCCTCCTTCTGGTCGCATCTGGGGATTAGCTCTACCATGTTGACGTCCCTTCCTGACATTGCTCACTCCATCTCTCTCCCTGTCTCGCTCGCTTGAGACTCAACTGCTCCTGCTTTGTGGCTTGGCCCTCTGGCCAGGTCACTGTAGCCCTCTCCTTCTGGGGGGCATATATCAAAGTCTCTCGGAACCCCCTGTCCCAGGCAGTCTTCACATTCATTGCCCCATAACAGTGCCACTTCCCCAGTGGCTGGTAGGGGAACCCAGGCCCACCCTCTACACTGGTTTCCAGTTCAGGGAGCCTACAACAAGCACTCAAGATCTGTACAAAGACTATCCCTTTTTGCTGTATCCCTGGGTTGCTTCCTACCCTACCTTCCGCCACCTTGACAGTGACAGCAGTTTCCGTCTCTACCGTCCCCTTCTACTTTCAACTATGGGGCATTATACAGGCCCCTCCTGTTCCTGTCCTGATGAGCTTCATCTCTAATTAGCCCTGGCTCCTCCTCTAGGTGCAGCCCAGGTGGTTAACTGGCCCACCTAGCCACCTTCCCCCCTTCAGGCCTTGTGTGGGGTGGACACCCCATCACACTCCCTAGTAGCCATTCTTGCAATTCCACCCCTTGCGCCCATACAGGGAGTTGGCAAATGGCAGCCAGATGTTGTCACTTGCTGACCTTGAGCTGAGTGACTAACTAATTTTTTTCAGTTCGGTGGCTGATAATTTTGGGTTGACCTGAAATGGAAATATTTTGGTTTTCTTGTCAAAATGAACCCCCCTGCAATTTGTTTCAAGACAAATGAAATGTTTCATTTGACCGGAAATGAATGTGTGAGAGTGTGTGTTTGTTTCATTTTTGGGAGTTTAACTTTTTAAAAATACATTTAGTTAAATTTGGAAACAAAACACCAATTCTAAAATGAAAAGCGGAAACGTTTCATCTTGAAAATGTTGTAGCGAAAAGCTGCGGCTTAAAAAATTTGCCCCCCCCCCCCCAAATTATTGCGTCAGACTATTTGCTAAATTCAGCCCCAACTCATGAAAAGTTTGGGCGGGCTCAAGCATCACAAAGGGCCTTGTGCAGGGTCCAGGCTCCGAAGTGAACTTCATACAACGAATTGCCATTCCCACATTAATGGCAGCTAATTTCCCAGACAGTATGGGCTTCATTTTGATTAAAACAAGAGGAGGTGGAGTTGTGCACCCAATTACACTTGCACATACACAGTCGTCCCAACAGGTGGAGCTAAAGAATGCAACATTTACTGTTCTTAAATGAGACAGCAACGTAAGTTGCCTGGCCTTGGGCAGGGAGGTCATGGTCACCTGAGTCCATATGTGCACGTGCACAACAGCGGATGGATTTCCACATGTGGAGATTTATGAATGACTGAAAAAGCCCCTACTTTGACGGTTGGCTTTTCATTTCCTACAAATCTAATGACAGAGGAACAGAATCGACTGTGAACATATTCAGGAAACAGGTTCATGGTTACCGTTTAAAAGCTTCCTTTGCATTATGAAGTGTTTGTGCCGTTTAGTCAGTCACAAACATTCATGTACCCTCTTGAGAAAATACATCCTACGCCAACGGAACAAAATAATGTAAGGGCCTGATCCTGCAAATACCCTTTCAGACTGGAAGTTTATACTCATACAATAATCCCATTGAGGTGAATGGGATAATTCACATGAACAAGGACAGCTCATGTGAATTAAGGCCCCAATCCTGAGCAGGCTGACCCATACGCAGATATGGAGTCTCACTGACAACAGGATCAAAGCCTTAAATTGAAGAAAAAAAAAAAACCCCAGGAAACACGATAGATCAATGTAAAGCTCACTCAAAACATCTTATCTAGATGTGATCTAACAACACGGGCTCATTGAGAAAACCAATAACCTTCACGGGAGGAGATTCTCCAAATGAGATGTGCATCTCTCAGTTGAAGCTGCTGTGAAATAGATACTAATTTTACCTGTAGAAATTCCAATTATCTTGTACTTTTTCTGTGAATGTATTAGAAAGGGGAGAGAAGAGCTTGGTAGATACTGTAAACAATTTTCTGTGAATGTGCATTCGAACCTTTAACCTGGTGGTTCTCAATCTTTTTAATCCCAACATGCCCTTTTCCATACTGGGACTTCTCGGGGCCACCTCTTTCAATCTAGCCAGGATCCCCATTCCATTTAGCAGTATGGGAAAGGCAGGGTGGCCATGAGCCCCTGTGACCTTTCTGGGTCCAAGCCCCAGTTTGAGAATCTTTGCTTTAAATGGATCTGTTTTAATGGTGCTTGTGCCCTTTTTGCCCTGTGGCTTTCTGTGGAAAAGTCTAACAAACAAGCATGCTGTCAGGAATGTTCACAGAATCCGCAAACGATAAGGGAACACCAGGAAACACCTGAAGAAAGCCGAACCTGAACCCACAATCACAAGTATTCATCTTGGAAACTTGATTGTCAGGGTTGCGATCACCCAATCAGGGAACAGACATATATCATGCAACATATCTGTTCAATCAAAACTCACCAGTAGAGTTCAAAATCTGAATATTTAATGCTTGCCATGAACTGTGTGTGTACCATCTGGGGACTTCTGAGCACATAAATGGCAAAAGGTGTAAAAGCCATGCAATTTGGGACAGATATGGCAAAAATATTAGCAGTTGCTAATTTGCTCATCTCTAGTTTTTTACCCACTAAAGGGCTGATCCAAAGCCTACTGAAGGCAATGGAAAAGCTTTAAAGGATTTTTGATCCAGCTCTAACAGGGCATGTTGACAAAGCCTATGTTTTGATTCTTTCAGAGGAGAGTATGTCAGAAATATACAGATGGTGTGACCTTTATTATTAATTAATTATTATTATTATACTTATTGCAGTAGCAAACAGATGGCCCAGTCAGAATGAGGCCCTGTTTTGCCAGGCCCTGCATAAACACACAGAAAGAAAGAGATACACCCCTACCCCAAGAGAAAACACACCAGATGAAGGGAGGGGGAGTGCGATACAACGTATGTGTAAAGAGACTGTGGGGATGATACGCTTGTTAGTTCCAGCATAACAAGAACATCCCCAATTATATTAGATAGGTTATCATATTTAGTAAGGATATAAACCTTCATATGCCAAGCACTGTCTGCTTGGAGTCAGGAAGAAACTTCCTCCATGGGCAGGTTATTGCTCAATTGTCCATTAAAAGATATCTTGTTCCTGTCCGTGAAGCATCCAATACTGGCCACTGTTCGAAAGGAAACCCGATTAGAGGGACCAGTGGTCTCATCTCATCTGGCCATTCTTACAATTAGTATCAGAGTGAAATTAATGGAGATTTTGGAGGAAAAAAAATCTTCACATTTTAGGTTAAGCAACAGTTTGGTCTCTGAATCTTCAAAAATTCACTGCCACCTGCTACTAATTTTATTCTTGGTTGCAAAAACCATTGATTGCCTAAAGGGAGAGGGGAAAGGAGCTGTTAAGGAACACTTCACGCAGAGTGAATGAGAGCACAAATAGCAGGGGATGTGTGTCTTAATGAGCAAAGGGGGCACTGATCAGTTTGCTACACAGTGAAGCCTGACCCTGAGATGTGTTGAGTGCCTGGAGCTCCCCTTGACTCCAACAGGACCCGAGGACGTCATGTCTCACAATCAGGCTGGGAGTTTGTTGTAAAGGCAATGACAGGTTGTGCACAGAACTGAGCAGCAAATCCCTCATTTTCGGTCTCACTGGGCCCTTCCATCGCACTCCAGAAAACAGTTCCGTTTCTTTGCATGGAGAGATTCAGGGAACCATCCCCAACCAGAAGCTTGCACAGCCAACCTGCTCCCCTTTTCTATCTTATCTAGCCCCAAATCGCTGCTTACCTTAATGGCCTGAGTGTTCGCAGCAGCCTCAAGACCCTCAGCATTCCAAGAATTTTAGTGCTGCTGTCCGATACCACTGAAACCAGGATGTCAATGACCGAGATGAGAACCAGCACCCCATCGAGCACATTCCAACTGCTCTTCAGGTAGGCCTTCTCCCCAAAGCACAAGCCAAGCGCCACCACCTGCCCAAATGGCAACAAGTTATGACTAATTCAGCCAGTATGTTTCTTCCAGTTAGCGACTTGCCGCTAATACATTATTCACAGATAAGTGATTGCGAGTCCATTTGCTTCCCAGTATAGAAACCTAATTAGACAATTTTGTAAAGTGTGATACCGTAAGGACTATAAAAATAACTGCAAAAAACACCGCAGATTGTCCCTTAACAGCTGATGTATTTTTAATGCAACTAAACCTCGTTGTGCAAAAGTGATTCTATTAACCTATAGCTGTTGCACATAAGATTTGATCACATGATTATTTGGGCTACTGGGGGAGAGAAGTGGTTTCGAGGTCCTGACTATAGGCTATTGCTTTCCACCAGATTTGCAAATACAGAAGACAGGGGAATGAGAAGAGAATAGTTCTGAGATGCTATGAATTATATGAGAGCGACATACAGGAAAAAGTCTTGCCAATCTTTGGGCCTGATTTTGGCTCTAATTCAGCAAAGCATTTACGCATACTTTTAATAAAACAACAGCAAACCACCACCACCACGTCGCTCTAACACAGCACTTGTCATTAGTGGATCTCAATGCACTTCACCAAGGGGTCAGTATTATTATCCACATTTTACAGATGGGAAAATTGAGGCACAGGGAGGTGAAATGACATGCCCAAGGTCACCCAACAGCCAGAGGCAGGCAGAGATAGGAATAGAATCTCAGTCCAGTACATTAGCCACTATGTCACACTGCTTCTTCAGCAAAGCACTTAAGCGTAAACTTATCTTTAGGTCATGGAAGTCAATGGGACTTACCCACATGGCTGAAGTAAAGCATGCGCTTAAGTGCTCTATTGAAAAGGGATGGACTGCTGATTTGAGGCCTCTCATCTCATCTATACTCCAAAAAATCAGGAATAACTTCAGTGGAATGATGGTGGTGCAAAATGCACGGAGAATAAAGTGCATGGTATTTATTGGGTTACTTCTCCTTCCCAAGTAGCAGAGTAGATTAAGACATGATGATCTCTGGAAAAATGGGCACAGGGGCTTTAGAAATCCAAAGTAATAAAATGGTGCTAATGCAGCACAGCCAGGCTTATGCTTTGGCTTCATTTACCTTAACTGTCATCTCAGCCAGGAAGATTACTGTGAAGATGTAGTTGGACAGCGTTAGGAAAATTCGTTCCTATAAAAAATAAAAAAAGAAAACGAGAGACAAGGTTTTATAGTCTGCTCTCCAAATCTCTCTCTTGAGATATATATTTGGGTAGTTGCTTAATGTTCTCCTGATTTTATGCTGAAATAAGTCTTGGAATGTTTGCTCCTGAAGATGATGTCCAAACATTTACATGATAACATTTCACTTGTTTATAGAGCTCTTTTCCTATGTTACTTTGTGTATGTCAGTACCATGGACAGCTGCCAGCTTTCTCTATAGGATTCTGCTTGCTTCACCACAGGTGATGGGTGAAATAAGCGAAGGGTGCAATTGAAATTCACATGCCTTCTCTCTTAAATCTAAGCCATTCTTTCTATGTATCCTTTGGCCATTCCACACTTTCCCAGGTTCTATACCATTCCTTTACCCATCCCAAGTACTCTGGGATGCATGGGGGTGCTTGACAGATGTAAGGAGAGTTTTCTTATGAATGATACATAGCGGGTGTCTCACAACCCTTCACCTGTGGTTCTCAGAGTACTTCACATGGTTGTTGTGGGACTTAATGATTCTTGTAAAGTAAGCTGAATACCCACTCTACAGAAAGGCAATCTGAGGCACAGAGAAACCATGCCTCAGCTGGTGTAAACTGCCATAGAATCATAGAACTGGAAGGGACCTCGAGAGGTCATCTAGTCTAGTCCCCTGCACTCAAGGCAGGACTAAGTATTATCTAGACCATCTCTGACAGATATTTGTCTGACCGGCTCTGCAATGATGGAGATTCCACAACCTCCCTAGGCAATCTATTCCAGTGCTTAACCACTCTGACAGGAAGTTTTTCCTAACTTCCAACTTAAACCTCCCTTACTGCAATTTAAGCCCATTGCTTCTTGTCCTATCCTCAGAGGTTAAGAAGAACAATTTTTCTCCCTCCTCCTTGTAACAACCTTTTATGTACTTGAAAACTGTTATCATGTCCCCTCTCAGCCTTCTCTTCTCCAGACTAAACAAACCCAATTTTTTCAATCTTCCCTCATAGGTCATGTTTTCTAGACCTTTAATCATTTTTGTTGCTCTTCTCTGGACTTTCTCCAATTTGTCCACATATTTCCTGAAATGTTGCACCCAGAACTGGACACAATACTTCAGTTGAGGCCTAATCAGCATGGAGTAGCGTGGAAGAATTACTTCCCGTGTCTTGCTTATAATACTCCTGCTAATACATGCCAAAACGATGTTTGCTTTTTTTGCAACAGTGTTACACTGTTGACTCATATTTAGTTTGTGATCCACTATGACCCCCAGATCGCTTTCTGCAGAACTCCTTCCAAGGCAGTCATTTCCCATTTTGTATGTGTGCATCTGATTGTTCCTTCCTAAGTGGAATACTTTGTACTTGTCCTTATTGAATTTCATCCTATTTACTTCAGACCATTTCTCCAGTTTGTCCAGATCATTTTGAATTTTAATCCTATCCTACAAGGCACATGTGGCCCCTCCCAGCTTGGTATCATCCGCAAACTTTATAAGTGTACTCTCTATGTCATTATCTAAATCATTGATGAAGATATTGAACAGAACCAGACCAAGAACCAGTCCCTGCGGGACCTCACTCGTTATGCCCTTCCAGCATGACTACTCTCTGGGAATGATTTTCCAACCAGTTATGCATCCACCTTATAGTAGCTCCATCTAGGTTGCATTTCCCTAGTTTGTTTATGAGAAGGTTATGTGAGACAGTATCAAAAGCCTTACTAAAGTCAAGATGTACCACATCTACCGCTTCTCCCCTATCCACAGGGCTTGTTACCCTGTCAAAGAAAGCTATCAGGTTGGTTTGACACAATTTGTTCTTGACAAATCCATGCTGACTGGTTTCAGAGTAGCTGACTGTTACTTATCACCTCATTGTCTTCTAGGTGTTTGCAAATTGATGTCTTAATTATTTGCTACATTATCTTTCCAGGTACAGAAGTTAAGCTGACTGGTCTGTAATTCCCCGGGTTTTCCTTATTTCCCTTTTTATAGATGGGCACTATATTTGCCCTTTTCCAGTCTTCTGGAATGTCTCCATGTTTTCATTGAAGTCAATGAAACTATGGCAATTTATACCAGCTGAGGGTCTGCCTCCAAGAAGTTTAAATCACTTGCCCAAGACCACGAGAGAACTGGGAACAGAACCCAGCAGTGTTCCCATGCTCTAACCCAGTCCTATCGTCTAACCACTAAACCATGCTTTCCTTCTGTGTAAGTAACTAGTGATTACAGAGGAGAGCCATGGCCTAATTCCCTATCTATAACCAGCAGAAACCTTTCTTTTTAATGATGATCATTAAATAAATTACATTTTCCCCTAATCCCTATACAATCTCTGATTGCTTGCACTGTGAGATGGAGAGTTGGAAGGGGGGAGTAAGACAGAAACACAGAGTGTGTGTGTGTGCATGTGTGCACTCTCACACAGGGACTAAAACATCTCACTGTAACATTATGGTAACGTTACTAGAGATGCTGGATTTATTTCCACTGCTCCCTCAAGAGCAGTTCTCTAAGAAATGCAGCTCTCTAAAAACCAGCTGCAATTTAACGACGAGAAAACACCATGGAAACTCTCACTTGCCAGGCCATGATTTACTGAGAGTGACACAGGAATCACTAAGTAGCTTGTTTCCATCCTGGTGTCCATAATTAATCACGTCGTAAAGACCCCTGCTGTGACTGCACGAGCCATGATAGAAGACATCCCTGGTCTTCAAGAGAGTGCGGCACAAAAGGTCGGCAAGTGTGCGGTGGGGCTGAGCATCTGCAGGAGCGGATAAGCACCTGCTTTAGGCAGTGCAGATAAAATGGTAATAGCAGGTATAAAAGAGTCAGAATATTACACTTCTCTTTGGCAAGTGTGCAGCGATTTGGAAGTGCAGTCTCCACGCACCGCATCCCCTACTCTCCGGAACAGGAAGGCCTGCCTCCCCTGCTCTGACTGGCCAGCTCTAATTGGGAGAGGTAGAGAACTGGCTCTAGGCAGTTAGAAAAATCCATGGCTCTGGAAGGCAAAGTACAATTATTTGAAACAAGTGAAGCTAAAATAACTATTTGTGTTTCCAGGCAAGAGCTCTGTCAGCTGGAACAGGGCTGTGTGCCCATGCCTGCCCTGGCTCGCTCTCGCCATTCCTTCAGCATCTCCTGCGGTGCCTCCTTTGGGTGTTCCCCGCTTCTGCTTTCCATCTTCTGTCCAGCTCACCTTGATCCCTGGGTGACCTCACTGGCTCCCATGGTTACCATACCCAGGCTGATGGTTCTCTCACCTACCTCCTGCCCCTGGGCTCTCTCTCCTCTGTCCACTTCTGCATCTCAGAAATCTCCTCCGAGTCTTGGCAAGACCAGGGTGCCTCATTCTCCCCTCACCACTGGCAGTACCACTGTCCTCCTCATCTCCCACGCACCACACTGTTGGCTTCTCCACATCCAGACTCCCAACCAATCCTCTCACTTCTCCCATTTCAAACAGCACGAGAGACCCCACCTTTCCTCCCCATCTTTGCTGCTCCCACTCTTGTCCTCACCCAGGGCCATCCCACACCTTGACTGGTGCAGTGTCCCAGAGGCCCAGGTCAGATGGCTTTTAAACTGGAGAACAACAAATAGCACAGAGTGGAAAACGAATACCCGTATTTGCGTGTGAATCCAGGTCACCATAAAAAAAAAAAAACACAAACACACACCAGCCTTTCCCCGAACATCCGTGCAAACAAAATACCCCTCTGTGCAAGGGTTTCTGGACAGGGCTCTAAGGGGACCCAACATGGGACCAAAGAGCCATTCAGAATGTGAAGGAATGCTCCTAAATGTGTGGGCCAGATTCTCAGCTGCTATAACTTCAATGGAGTTATGCTGATTTACACCAGCTGAGGATCTGGCCCTATTTCTGCAATATTCAGCAGGTGAGTCCAGACAGCAGCATTTAATACCTCCAAAGAAAGTTGGGACAGCAAAGAAATTCTTTGCTCTCGCTTTCTAAGAGTCTCCACAATACCAAGAGCTACAAGGGGATTTCCAAAGCTGCCTAGAATATAGAGACACCCAGTTCTCACTCATTTCAATGGGAACAGGGCCTCCAGATCCCTTCACCAGCTTTGGAAAAATCTCAGCCTCCATCAGCTGCATGAAACCCACTAAAGTCACTAGAAGTCACCCATGTGAAATGCCAGGACAACTTCCCACAATGGACTGGCTGGGGAGGGAGCCCAGCATCCAAAGCAGTTCATCTGTTCCCGCATTCAAAGAGCGAGCTCATGTGAGGAGCATGCCCATCCCACCCTAGCCAGCCTTTTACATGTGCAGCAACTGTTCAAGCAGCCCGCCTGACAATGTCTAATGGAGAACAGAAGTCGAAAAAAGGCATCTGTAAGTTAAACAATGGCTGAGAGCTCCAAATAAGCTCCAGCAGCATCCAAATTCACAATGTCAAATTCATTAAAAAAAAGTGAGTTAATGGAGAGTGGCATCAATGGACTCTCATTAAAAGGGTGTTTTTGTTTTAATAGTTTCAAGGGGATCCAAACCTTGTTTCACAAAACTCCCATCCTGAATGACAAGCCTGTTTCATTAACGTGTTTGGAAAAATATGAGTGTTTGGTGAAAACAGAATACTGATCTGCAGGAACCCTGCTCCATACTATAGGCCCCATTCATAAGGACCAAGGCCAGGAAGGACCACTGTGATCATCTTGTCGGACCTCCCATATGACACCAGCCATGGAACTTCCTTCCCCGCCCCCCCAAAAAAATTACTACAGAAGAACTTTTAGAAACACAGCTAATCTTAATTTAAAGATTGCCAGTGATGGAGAAGAATCCATCATGACCACTGGTAAACTGTTCCAATGGCTAACTACCCTCACTGTTACAAAGGTACACCATTTCCAGCCTGTATTTGTCTCACTTCAACTTCTAGCTATTGGATCGTGTTTATATCTTTGTCTCCTGGATTAAAGGGCCCATTATCAAATATTTGTTCCCCATCTAGGTACTTATAAATTGTGATCAAGTCACCCCTTAATATTCTCTTGGTTAAACTAAATAGATTGAGCTTCTTGAGCCTTCTGTGGCATGCTAGAGCATTTGTCATAACATTGCGCCCAAAATAGGTCATGCTTGCCCGTCTAAGTTCATTGTTTCGGATCCAGCCCAGGCTGGAAGTGACTAAGAGTTGTTACCATCTGCTGGCTAGTTGGTGGCTAAAGTCCAGTTCCCAAGGGATCACAAAAGCCACCACCACCCCTGGCATTAACTGGCAACCTTGCAAGACTCAGAAGAGATCAAGGACCGAATGGGTTGTGAAGACTGATCACCACTCACCCTAATGGTGGGCCCCTCCCGGGCAGGGCTAGGGAGCTGTGAGGAAGTCTGCATTGGAGCTACTATCCATGCTGCACATATTCTGGGGATACAGAGGCTTCACTATCCAGGGCTACCAACCCAGCATCTTTCCCCAGCTATATCCTCAGAAAACCCGCTGGACTCACATATTGACAGATGACAAAATGATAATGAGAGTTTACATTTATACAGAAAGACTCCAAAGCACTTTGCTACTGTATACATGCAATGAAATGCAGCCATCTCTGGGGTGGAGGACAGTCACTTATTGCACAACAGTGAAGGAAAGAAATTTGGCTTAAGGAGATTGGGGCATGCTTATTCTCTGAGGAGGAGTGCTAGGGGGATCTTTAATGTACACAAAGAGCACAAAGAACCTTAGTTTTAAGATCTCGGCCTAAAGATCCACAGTCAATAAACAGCAAGGTACTCATGCACTGAGGGATCAGGGATTTATATTGTTGCAATATGAACAGTCTTTTGCAATATGTCAGAGGCAGCCTAGTGTACCTCTCAGCCGCAATCGATACAAAAATAAAAGAGCAAGTGGATGACTCTGCCCATCTGACTGATAGGAGTTGATGTTATGAGGGTCTGGTTTGAAAAATCATTATGCAATTTATTAAAGCAAATGGTTCAGGGAAATGGAATTACAGTGCTTGTATCCATTCAATTTGCTTATGTCATAACAAAGATGATCGACAAAGAAGCCAGAAAAGTACAAAATGAACAGCTTCCCCCTATCCCTTCCCACCACCCATACGCCGATGCAGAACAGATGGAAGGAGCTAACATTGCGCAGAGAGAGTAAAAGTGTTTGAATGCTTATCAGAGAAGAAAATGGAGACAGATGTCCTAGTTATATCATGTATTAAAACAGTCTGATTGTGGCTGGGGAGATGGGATATTAAAAGTGGAAGCCTTGATGTCTTTCCCAGCAAATGAGTGCTGTTCTTATACGTTTCAGAATCAGATTAAAGAAACTTTGGTGAGGGCAGAGGATTGAATGCCTGAAAGAATCCCTGTCTGTTGGCAGCATCATGGAAAGTCCACTTCAGCATGTGCTGTAAAGGTACATTTATTGCTGAAGTTAACGCCGCATAGGCAGGATTGATTTTCTTTTAAATAAACCATGAATGGCAAATTATAAACAGCTGGGGCAAGATCCCTGGATACAGCCATGATGTTCAGAGCACAAGGCACGAGCAGCACGCAGAGATGGCTTAAAGCCCTCCCATGCACAGCCCTGATGATCGTGATGCTCTGTGCCTGGCTGTTTCCTCTGTGCTGTGTTGGAGCCTGAGGGCTGCCCTTACTTACGCTGGCGTGTAATGATCACAAAGAGCTAAAACATACTGCTGGACCAGGGCAGTGCAGGGGACGTCCCTACGTGTGGTGCTCCCTTTTATCTAGCCATCTGCACGTCCCACACACCACGAGCAGCAGGAAGGGTGGATGGTATATAGCCTCCAAGTTGGCTCTATACCACTGCATGCTCATCTCTCACTGGCAGATCCTCTCTGGGCCAGACAGACAGGGTTTGTGGTCCAAGCACTGTGTCAGAGTTGTACAAAGCAGCCGCATGGCCCCTAAGGATCTGATTCCTGATCTGGAATTCGGGGCCAGATCCTCAGCTGGTGTAAATCAGCACAGCCCCAATGACTTCAGTATAGCTATGCAGATACATACCAGCTGAGGATCTGGCCTCCTTTTTCTTAATAGTATGAAGGAGAGAGAGAGAGAGAGAGTCCAGTGTGACTTGAGCTTTGGTGGCTCCACAATGAATGCATAACTCTGATACTCACAGCACTGTGGGGCTCAATTTTGGGCCGTTCCATGGCAATGGTAATGCAGTTCAGGAAGATAATAACCAAGACGATGTGATCAAACATCTTGTGAGTGATGATTTTATTGCACATCAGACGGAATCTGTCCAGAAAAGACAAAAAAGACACATAATGAGCTGTTAACACCTAACTGGTCTGAAACACTTTTGTCAAAGCGTCAGCCTTATGCACGGCGTGAGAACTGAACAGTCGGCTTGAAAAGCAGGTGCGCTGCTGACTCCCAACTCCTTTTCTAGGGTGGCCATGTGTTAGCAAATTTTTCTCAGTATAAACAGAAAAGGGTTCAAGCCACAAAATCTGAACACAGTTTGCAACCACCACAAAGTTTAGGGGTGCTTGGTTGGATTTGGGGTTTGGTTCATTGTAAAGAGAGCAGCCGCTTGCAACTTACACCTATTGCCAGGTTCGGATTTCAAGCTCTCCTTTACTCCAAGGGTCAGAGACACGTTTGGATTCAAGGCTCTAATTTCACTCCATCTCTAGCTCGAAAATAGCCTAGTTTGAGTGTGTTGGCTAAAGAATGCTGTGCTGAACAAAGGAACAAGAACTATTTAGCATGACAGATGGCTGTATGTTGATGCAGGATTTATAATATGGTATTACATTTCCCAAAGTCTGTTTCTAAAAATCTATGTAATCATTGTATGAATGAATTGTAATGCTGCTTTGGGCCTCCAGCTTAAAAACACAAGGCGTCCCCTAGGACAAGCCATGACATTGCTGCATGAACGTGTATCAGGGCACTGATTCCAGATGGCCATATAGCAGCTGACCCTTGGAAAGAACAAAAGACTCTTGCTCCTTTATGTAAGCAACAAGCCTTTCCTGGAGGGGTGTGACTAGGCGATGGGAGAAAGGGAACACAAAGGCCCAAATTCAGAGGCAAGTCTAAGTCTAGAGACTAAGTTGGTGTAATACTTTCTTTTGGTCCCCTCAATGCATATGTGACACCAATTTAGATGCTATTGGATGTACCTAGCCACTGTACCCAGGTGTTTTTTCTACCTACTGTGTAGAGTCAAAAGCTCACCCTGGGTGCTTGGCTTTATTAAGAAAGAAATTAACAACAGCATAATAAAGATCTGTTCAAGCCTTCTCTCTCAAGCATGGCTGTGCCTGGGGTTCCTCCCTTATGACTTCTCAGCCCACAGCCTAGATCCTCCCACCTCCCAGTGGGCTCCTGCTGGCAGCGTCATGGAACGGAGTAACCAGTTGCCTGCCCCAGTGAGTCAAGCAGGACCAACTTAACTCTGCCAGCAGGCTCAACACCTGCTAAGAGGGTGAGGTGTTCCAGGCAAGCATTGCCAGCCTCTTATAGACTTCCATAGACTCGCAGAGCCAGATTTAAGGGTGATGTGCAATTTAGATCCCCTGACACTAGCTTCAATTCCTTTATACTAAGTTAGACTCCCCTGGAGCTACTTACAGCCCTACCCCTAACTACACACTGAGGAGCTGGAAGAAGGGGATCAGTTAAAGTGGCTCCCAGCTTAATTGAACACACACCTCTTTGCAGCTCCTTGTGAAGTCAAGAAGAACTGGTGAGAGTAGTTCAACGAGAATCTGCCTGAAGGGGACTGTAAGTTACCATCTCTGACCACCACCACAGACGACTGGGCAAACAACTGGTCGCTGCTACCTCCAGCAGCTATTCTGACCCCTTGACCTTTAGGTCCTAGCTTTCCCGGCCTGGAGCAGCATGGTTTCCCCTGGTACTCACCTCCACTAGGGCAAAGGCTCTCATTGGGTTCTGCTCTCTTTCTTTAACGAACAGTGTGTGCCCATGAAGCAATGTCTGGAACCTGTCTATTGATATGGGGTAACAGCTGATGTCCACAAGTCCTTAGGACCAAAGGACCACCTATCCTAAGGGAGGAAGCAGAGTTCCTCAGGTACCCCAGGTGAATAAACAGGGGCTCAGATTCCGTGCCGCACCTCCAGGAGGCACAGGGCATGGGTGAGGGCAAAGATGACTTTAAACCACCTTTTCACGCTCCGTATTGTGGGCTGTTCTGGGAGCTGAACCTGATCCTGGTGTAAGTTAAAGCAGTGAGGGGCTGCTCCTTTTGCTGGCTATGATCTACAGTGCAGCCCCTGATCCCAGAGATACTAAAAGCGAAGAGCCCACACCCATGATCTGCCCACAGCTCATCCTTACATTAGGGCTTACAGTAACCCTACAATTTATCTGCACCAGGGGAATGCTCTCCAGCCAGTTGCAGCAACCCGTATTGCTACTATATGTCAATGGAGTGGTACATAGGGAGCGGAAAGGGGAAAGAATCTGTCTCCAAGATTTAGATAGGGCTGTGGGCTTTACCCTCATCGATGCAGCAGCTAGGAGATGGGCAGGCTGGCATACAATGAAGACTCTGAACTTCACGGTGCTGGGGCAGCGTAATCCACTGTAACACTTACATTCAATTCTACCCACAGCTATCACATTATTATGCAAGTTGCCTTACTTAGAGTGAGGAGCAAAGATGTAGATAGACCAGGAATCCCTTTCTTTGCACCAGGAAGGTAGGTGTGCCCTTATCCAAGCCTTCATACGCTCACTTTTGCTCTAAAAGAAAAATGACAACTGTACAGTGAGTTGTAATCAGTTATTCTGAGCAACTACAGCAAGCATCAGCCATGGAGTGAAACCCAGACAAAGCAAACAACCAAGCGTGAAACCCTTGTGATGCTTTAATTTCTCCTCCTCCCTGTCAACCTGGAAGTTTCATGGCAGTACTGCAGGCCTGCGAGCTGGGGTCATTTCTGAATGACATTTCTTGTGTATAATACAAAACTAAAATAATGAAATTGGCAGCATGGGTACACATGACCTGCTGTGCATCTCAGGGATGGATTGATGATACCTAAGAGTACATGCATGCAACTCCACTTACAGAAATGTCTTAAGCACAGCTGTGTAAAGGAAGAGGGAGGCCATAAATTTAAAGATATCTACAGTGTGGACAAGCACTGCTGCACATGGTATCTGCTCACAGTCACCACTCTAACATGGAGACGGCATTTTAAAAGTTATCATAAAGAAAAAAACAGAGAAAGCTGTTTTTTTTAAAAAAAAGGGTCTTCCAAACCTAATAAGTCACAAAACTAAGATGGCACATTTTTTCCTATAGCAGAAATGTCACTCACCATTCAGCAAAGCAGCTGATTATGAGCTGAAAAAAATCAAAGACCCCACTGTGCATGGCACTGCCAGCAAAAACTGGGGCACAGTCCAGCAGAGCCCAGGTCTGCGCTGATTAGTGACAGGACTCTCTAAACATCTGAAAACTCTGTTACCATTATTTTTATAGCATCATGAATACACTAACAGGACAAGTGTGTTGGTTAAAATCTCTGCTCTGTGGTCAGATACTTAACAGATGTTTACCCGAATCTTCCGAGGTTTAATTCGAAGTAAAAGAGGAACATATAGGGCTTATGTTAGAGACAATAAAAAGGGCAGAGGGTCAGACATCTGCCTGCCACTTGTGGACTCCTGTGTCGGTGGGACTTCGGTCTAACTCTGGCTGCTGGACTGGGTGTGCAGCTGGCTGGGTGGCATACAGCGGCCTGTGATATCCGTGAGCTCAGGCTCGATGACCAGGTTCATTCCTGCCTGGAACTTTATGACTGGCATATTTGTGCACCACTGTGATACTGGAGGAGTCACCCGTGATTTCCACTTGGGTCCGTTAACAGAATGTCAAGTGTGCACTTTCCTTACCATTTTAATAGATTACTTACACCATGGTGGCTTAAGACAGGAGGGCAGATTTTGGGGCTTTGATCCAAAGTCTGTTAGTGTCACCAGGAATCTTTCTATTAACTTCAATGGGCTTTGGATGAGGCCCATAGAGTACAGCTGTATCCGATATTAGATTTGTTCTTTCCATAAGACCATAAACCACGTAGCAATGTGCCAGCCCCTCAGGGCAGAGAGCTACCCTTACTTGCACTGAATATTAGCTTATAACATGTGCCGACTTTTTGAAATCAATGGGGTTACTTGTGCAGCAAAGTGCTACTGGACGTCAATAAGGGTAGCACAATTTAGTCCTTGAATCTCCAACCGGGGAGAGGTCTAAAGCAGAGCCATTTCGCTGAAACCCCCTCCCATAACATTAGGAGAGGATCAGACAAAGGGGGAATGGGCAAAAAATCACCATGGATTGGATTGGATTTTGCAAAACTAAAACCTGATTTCCCCAAAACAAAACTAGCCACAGGTTCTATCCATCTTCCTCCAACATGCTAGAATTTCAGACTTCAGATATTGCCTTTAGTTGGAAATCCACTATATTCTGAAGGGTTTCAGAGTAGCAGCCGTGTTAGTTTGTATCCGCAAAAAGAACAGGAGTACTTGTGGCACCTTACAGACTAACAAATTTATTTGAGCATAAGCTTCCGTGAAATGCGCTGTAGCACACGAAAGCTTATGCTCAAATAAATTTGTTAGTCTCTAAGGTGCTGCGAGTACTCCTGTTCTTATAGTCTGAAGGTTAACTTTTAAGAGATTATCATTTATAACCAATCAACTCTTGGATTTATACACCCATTATTATCCCAATTGCTGGGCTATATGTCAATATTTAGAGCTTTACTGAATTACCTCAAACTTCTTATAGTTTAAGCTGTAATTGATATCGACACATTGGACCAAGTTGTACACATACATTGCTTGCAAACCTACTGATGCCAATAGAGTCGCATGGGGTGAAAGCAGAAGCGGAATTTTGCACACTGCATACAGAAGATCCATCTAGCACCTCCAAGGACCAAAAGGACAATCGAATGGCACTTAGGGTCTAAGTGAATTATAAGGCCCAAGTTTTCATCATGGGTCTGTTGTGAAAATGATGACCACTTTCCAGGTTACAGTCTTGCCTTCTCATGACAAATAACTTGAAACAATTTGCCCTGACTAAATAATCCATAGGTCTCTTAATTTCCTGTATCTTCACTGTATACTCCTCTTTCCCCATACACTCCATATTTTTAATTCTGGATAATGCCATTACATAGCTCTTATAGGGACAGGTACAAAAGTCCAAGAAGTCGATGGGAATTATTCGATTGACTTTAATGGGCTTTGGATCAAGCCCAATGGCACTTTTTATCCTCAAAGAAGATCAGTGTCTTTATCCCTATTTGTAAAATGGAGAAACAGAGGCACAGAGATGTGCAGGGACTTGCTTGTGGTCACTCAGCAGAGTAGTAGCTAAACCTGTGATACTTGATTTCCAAGTCCAGTGCCCTACCCAGTAGACTGCTAGTCAAAACAGGCACCTTTGGGAGTGCATAAAATGATAGAGTTTAAACACAACCCCGCGCATTCCCCCTAGGAGCTGAGCAATTAGCAGTTTGAGCTGGTTTGGACTGTAAAAACTGGAGCTGTCAGTGTAATTGAGTGGAATGGGTGAAATGCTTTCTGTGCTTATATGCACTCAGCCAGGAGTCTCATTAGCAAGTGTTAATAGCTAGTACAGTGTCCATTTTAATGAAAATGCTTGGTGACAAACTGAACCCTTTGGAAAACGAAAGCCACCTTTCGAAGTTCTAGATAGAACCCTGATAGCTACCTCAGCCCTTGAACATGTAGTAAGAGCTGTGACTTGGTCCAGTTAATATTGTATGCTGGACGGGTTCCAAAAGGATCTATTATTCAAAGCATTTCTGGTATTTATCTTGAGGATTTGAAATGAATGGTAATGCGTCAGCAGCACAGAATGCCTCTTTATGTTCCTTTTGTCCAGTTTTAATGCCAAAGATATTTTGGGTTTTGTCTAATTGTTGCAGCTAGCAGTTCAAAGGCTACATCAGATAATAAAGGGGAAAAGTGAACTTCCATCATGTCCCTCTATTCAACATGTATGGGAAAGACTTGGGACATGGATCCATCAGTCATTACTGAAGCTTTGGCTTCCTTATACTAGGCCAAGTTCTGTTCTCTGTTATATCCATGGAAATCTGGAGTCAAAGGAGTTACTCCAGATTTACACCAGTGTAACAGAGCACAGTTTGGCCCACGATCATCTGAGCCAAATCTCTGTGAAAAAATGAGTATTTCCAGCCGACCCCCATCAGATGCTTTCTCTGCAAAGTCCAGATACACAGCATTGCTTACAATCAGCCTGATTGCTGCTGGAGTTTCCATTATGTTCAAAGAGATATATCAATTATGTTATTTAAATCATATCTATTTGTTCATAAGACACACCTGGCCAGGATGAATAAAGATGTGGAAGAACAAGAAGAAAAACAACCACCACCAACCCTTTAATTCAGTTGCTCGTTTCTTAGACAGAATGTTATGAGCATGATCTTGCTGGCCTATTGAAGCTAAACTCCCTCTGTACTCAGTGCCTCTACCCAGTTGACAAAGAGAGACATGCCCCTGGGGTCTATCTGGTGGACAAAACACGTGCATAACTCCCATTGATATTAACCAGTGTTATGTTCAAACATCAAAGGGGGAATAGAGAACCCTGTAGAGACTACATTAATGAGATCTATTGAAAAATAGTTTCCTGGTTAGGAATTTCAGATATTATTAATGTGCTTCTAAGGGCAGAAGGGAAGAATGCTGACATTAAAAGATGACTGATATACGTCTTAGAGCAGAGCGACATTGATCTATAAAAATTTTATTATAGGAAAAAAAATCTGCTAATAAACCATCCATGCCTATCAAATCAACTGAATGCAAGCTAGAAGATGTATTGTGAATCTCAGGACTGGATTATTTCATTCTAAACACTGAGCAGGGGAAGATTGAGATAGTAAAATAGATGATTCCCTTATTGTTGATCTGCTTGTTACAAAACTAGTGCAAAACAGCCAAAGGTGAAAGCAGATGAAAAAGCGCAAACAGAATTATTTGCACTTTGCATATGGGGGATTGTGTTTGAAGGGTCTTTTGGTTCGAGACTACGTAGCTTCCCCACTTTCCACTCCTATTTCTCACTAGCTTGGTTCTACGTTACAATGGACCTTTTGCAGAATGTGGAAATTTCACTGAGTGTGAGAGAGAAAAACCAAAAACTGGACCAGCATATATGAACATCAAAGATCTCAGGTCAGAGTCCAATTGCAGTTACACCTGTATAAATACGGATTTGTATTGGGCCATTATTTCAGTGGAGTTCCTCCAGATTTACACCTGTACAACCAAGAGCAGAATTTGATCCCTTGATTTTATTTTGTGAAGAAGAGTTAATGGGCCTGATTCTGGTCTCACTTATACCAGTGTTAATTGGGCGTGAATTCACTGAAGTCAATAGAGTGACACTAATGTAAACTGGGGCCGGGGTAATCAGAATCTGGCCCTTGTTCTAGTTTTTAGTTAGTGCAGAAAACATCAAGTACATCCAATAAAGACAGCTTTTTGGGCGTTGCTCCATAAGGGCACATTTAGTCCTCTAGGATCACGTTGATCTAAATAAGAGTCCAGCTTGTTTATTTTCTTTGGAAAAGAACTTGAAATTTCCTCTCATTCTACCCAGGTTAAATTGGGGGCAAAGACCCCAAAAAGTGACAGGAGGAAATCAGAGCAGGAAGCTCAAAATATGGAGGGAACAAATTCTTTAAGCTGAACAATATTTTCTAGTAACCGCTGTTTCATTATTTGTTTGAAAAAGGAGAAAACTCATGGTCTCTGTGTAAGAATTCAGGAGAACCCTCACAATGAGGATGATCCAAGAAACATGAACCTTATTTTGCCAGAATATAGGACTTTCCATCTCAAAAGTGCACCAAGTGGTTTACAAACTCTTACCAACAGAACCATTGAAACACTGGGAGGGCACTGGTCTAGCAAACAATCCACTTCATTGCACAGCACAATAAAATAGGGATGAGAAGTTTGGCAAAGTACACCAGAGCAAACCCAGATCTTAGAACATTACTACAGGGACTTTAGTCTGTTTACAGTAAATATTTATACTGTGTCCATGGAAAGCAGAGAAGACTAAAGTCTTTAAAACTCTCAGCTTAAAGATGCAGTACGCAATCTAATTCAGAAATTCATTCCAAGATTGCAGTCAGTTACCAATTTACTAGCTGGAAGATGTAAACTAAGAGATACTGCATGCAGTATGTTCTGATGTGCCACTTAGGTGTTTGGTTCAGGTAAGCTGGAAAGAAATCTGGCCTTGAGACAGAAGATGAAAAGTCTCCAGCTAGCAATAAGATCATGATCTTTTGATAATTTTAATAATTATTCTTCTGAGAATAATTACAGGCCCTTTTCTTAGAAATTCCATCTCCAGGGTGACCAAAGTGGTTTGCTGAACTTCTAGGAGGTTAAGAACCAGGTTAAAGCAATCAGTTAAAATTATAGCCTGAGAGTCCACATCTGAGACATAGTGGAATAAATGTATTCTAAAAAAGGAGATTTGTGGCTAGGCAACTATATCTTGGTCAAAACAACCTCGGTTTCTCATCAGTATGTACTTTGCAATTATGGTAGTCTTTAGCATCCATTAACATTCTCAAAGTTCAATTTTCATTCTCCAATGCCAGTGAACTGTACTAAGATATTTCCACAACCTGCTTCTTTCATAGTCTCAGTATTGCCCCAGCTGCTTCTACAATAATGACTGTTCGCAGACACTTGCCCAGACTAACACTACAATGGAGAATGATGCCTATTTCTGACCCATGCTGGTTGCTCATTGCATCTGAAATGCTCACTAAGGTAGACTAGCTAGTGTTTGTGCTGTGCTGTGTTCTCCAGGCCCAGTCAATTTACAACTGACAATTTACAGCATTTCAGAGGCTGGCGGGTGCCTGCCTTTTTCTGCCCACGTATGGATGGCTAATATCCATTTATCTCCTTTCTGGGACAGTAACAGGAGTCACTGCCCAATCTATTGGGGTCACTGGTCTAAGCAGACTAAGGGCTTCTCTACACGTAAAGCACTGAACCTGCGTTGCTGTAGCACTTCCGTGAAGACACTAGCTACACCGATGGGACGGCGTCTCCTGTCAGAGTAGGTAATCCACCTCCGCAAGAGGCGGTAGCTAGATCAATGGGAGAATTCTCCTGTCAACCTAGTGGTGTCTACACCAGGGCTTACGTTGGTTCAACTGTGTCATTCAGGAGTGTGGCTTTTTAACACTCCACAGCAACGTAGCTATACCAACCTAATTTCCTAGAGTAGACAGGCCTAACACACACCACGAACCAAGAAGCTCAAGTTGCAGTGGGGGAGGTTTAGGTTGGATATTAGGAAAAACTTTTTCACTAGGAGGGTGGTGAAGCACTGGAATGTGTTACCTAGGGAGGTGGTGGAATCTCCTTCCTTAGAGGTTTTTAAGGTCAGGCTTGACAAAGCCCTGGCTGGGATGATTTAATTGGGGATTGGTCCTGCTTTGAGCAGGGGGTTGGACTAGATGACCTCCTGAGGTCCCTTCCAAACCTGATATTCTATTATTCTATGAAGTTCCCCCCCTACCCCCACAAACCTGGCTTCCTCCTGGTTCAGCAGTTAATTCCACACAGTCTTGTGTGCCCAAGTGACATAATCAAATAAAGAAAAGAAATCCTCCCTTATTGGCAGGATGTCCCCACAGCCCTGGTCCTCCCCTTGCCCAGGGAGTGAAGGAAAAAGAAGGCCAGGGCCTTTCCCCAGCCTCCAGTCCTTTCCTCCTTCCAAGGGGCATTCCACCCCATAAGAAACCTCCGGCTTTTAATGATTCCTAGTTCACAAGGCACAGCAGTCAGCAACACTATCCATCTGCCCAGTGGGCCACAGCTCCTCACTCCTAGCCTGATGCAGTCCCTACAGGCTGCACTTTTCTTTCCAGGGCAATGAATGGGGTTTAAGCCTTTCCTTGTTCAGCATGGATTAAAGTTCACCAACCCTACCATAGTCCCCAGTCGTGCTCCCTGCAAACTGAAGGGGAGCAGGACTGGTGGGTCTTTCATGGACATCAGTTTGTGACAAGAACATGGAGACCATTATCCTAAATATCATCAGATTTTGCTGCCATAGTGTCAGTTGCTATCTGCTTAGAGTTTGATTTTAGCTAGTTGTCAAGCCAGCTGCTCAAGAGCTAGGGCAGGCTCACGACTCAGAATAAGCCTAGACCCTTGGTTGAGCCTTATAAGTTTTTAGATTCTGCCTTTATTAGCAATTTGCTATCACCTGTTATTGTCTCATCCTATTTATAACTCTCCAGATAGGGAGCGAAATTCTCCTGCTGTAACTTACAGAAGATGTTTCAAGGTCTCGTTAGCCTTTGCAACATCCCCATGCAGGTTTTGCTAGCATAATAGAAGAAGGTCAGGGATGAATGAAAGATCTCAATAAAATGAGGTGTTCATGTCACATTTATGCTTGCACGCACAAGGAGATAAAGTTCCAGGAGACCTCCAGATGCTGAGATATGTGGGGAAGGCGGTCAGGAGGTCTTTATTTGATAAGTCACATTCTATGTTCCTTATTGCCTGAAGGCCAAGTTTGGTGCTAACCTCCAACCCACACCCAGGCAATCCCCCTGATTTCCCTTAATGGGGCTGGACAGGGTGGATGACAGCTCTCAGTTTGGTTCTTTGTATTTAGATGTATCTCTAGTGCGGTTGCAGTGACTCTAACGCTGAAACTGCTCTGGCATTTACACAAATTGGGCACGGCGTCACAGTACAAATTACACACATTCATTTGAAAGCAGAGATCCAGGGAAAATGTAAAATGGGAAATGCCTCTTAACCACCTCGCATCTCTAATCAGTGCAAAATTACAGCTGATTTTCTCCCCCTGCCATGCTTTTAGCAAACGTTTTCTAAATGGCACTTCTCAGACCTCTGAAAGAGACATACATATTGGACTAATGCCTCTTCACATTGAAATTAATGCAAAGGCTAATGCTGCCTCTATGAGTCTAATAAGTCAATGAGATTAATGGGCCAAATTTGCCCTTGGATATACATCTGCTTCTCCTGTTTACATCAATAGAAATTGCCCGCTCACATCTGAGGGCAGAATTCGACCTTATAGTTGGAGAAAGAGAAACGTACTATTCTCTATTTCAAAGATAGATTTTTTTTCTGAAATAACCAGAGACAGGCAATGCATTTGTGCTGCGTCTACTGCTGGATACTAGCGTGTACAGAAGACCCAACCCCAATCTGTCTGGACATCCCCTCTGGGACCAGGGAGTAACACTAGGTTCCTATGCTGCTGTACTAATGGGAGGGTGTAGACTCATTATACCCTGGTCTCCTCCCATCCCCCCCCCAACCCACATCCAGTGCACCTACACAGACTAGCCTAGTGTTACTCAGATAATGCACAGATAGCCAGGCTATGTCCACTGCATGACTTATATCACTTGAAAAACAGAAGTAGAAACCAAATGACACAGCCTTCCTAACAGCTGCACATCCCAGATAGACCACATCAGCCCTCTCCCCTGTATGTTGTCATTTATGGTTCTGCAGAGAAAGCATGTGAGATTTGAGGTTCTCATTGCTCCAGCATGGAACCAATTTGAACTTGGTGGTTTCATTGAGTTTGCTTGAAGATTTTGGCACTCTTTCTAACCCAAAACTGAAAGCAAAAGTTGCAAGGGGGGGGAGAGGGAGAAACAGAAAAGTTGGGAAAAACATCAAAGAACAGCTTTACATGATCTCCTACAAAGTACATCTAAAGCGCTAAGAACAGAACGGGCACCACGCTCAGGTCCAAGAGCTAAGATCATCTGGGGCTCCATTCAAAGCCATTCTATTGTGCCTCCTGCTGCAAAGCCCACGTCTCATTTTGTACCCTTCACCCTCCCTGACACCACCCTCCCCCACACCACCCGCTGCAAATTGATAGGTCACGGGGGGTCAGTCCCTTCGAGGGACACAGGTTATGCATCCAGAATGGGCGCTTGTGTCTGTCCAGGCTGATAATGGGTGGAGGTTTCTTGTGGAACAGGAGGAGTGGAAAATGTGTGTTCCAGCCAGGGCTGCAGTGGAACCTAGGTGGAGAAACCTCCAGGGGAAGGAACATAGGCTCTGACTCCGTGGGTTCTCCGGGGCTGGAGCACCCACAGAAAACAAAATAGTGGGTGCTCAGCACCCACTGGCAGCCCCATTGATCAGCTCCTCCACCTCCCCTCCAGCGCCTCCTGCCCGCCGGTGGTCAGCTGTTCAGCAGCATGCAGGAGGTGGGCTTTCATAACCCATGCACCCCCTGTGGCTTTTATGCGGGATTTACATGGTGTTCCTAAGTCTGCTGCTAGAGAGCAGGAGAGATGCACCCAGCTGCAGTGGACTATTGCCCGACGCTCAGCAGCGTTGTTCTGCTAAGGGAATGGGTGTCAGTTAAACACAGGAAAGCCAAGAAGCTTCAGCAGCCACTGGCTGTTGATTTGTCTTACCAGGTTGCCTTCATCATCACCGTCATCGTCGTCCAAATGGAGCTGATGTAACAAGACTCCCGGGGAGGTTTTCCCATTGCAGTCTTGATGCTCTGATGCAGCGGTCCGGCTGCTGTGCATGCTGCTGGTTCGGTACAGGGAAGGCACCTGCAAGGTATCTTGGAGATCGAACGAGCCTTTAGTTTCCAGCGACGCCATGCGGTGAGGTAAAGAGCCATTAACGCTCCCAGTCCGGCTGGACCTCTCCTCGTCTGAGCTTTCCCCTTCCTCTGAACTCTCCTTTCCATTCCCAGACAAGAGGGATTTGCGCTCCCCACTCTGGCTCCGACGTTTCAGGCTGGGAGCCCGCCCCAGGCTGTTCCAGCTTGACCTGCGACTATTCCAGCTGCTGGCTGCGCTCCAAGGGCCATGGGGGGAGCTCTGTATGCTGGACTGAGGAAGGGACAAGAACATGAAGAGAGTCAACCCAGCATCACTGCCACCATCTCATGCTTGTTCCCAATGGACAGGCCTAGAAATACCAAGGCAGCGAGCACAGTATAAACACCTAGACAGACAGAGCCCACACAGCTGGAAACAGCCGCACAAACCAAACAGAAACAAAGCAGCCACAAAGGGTGATCAAGAAGATGAGCTGCATACCGGTGATTTGAGTTCATAGGCATTGGGATCCATGGAGACACTGCTGGCCCTGCGAGATTCATAGCCCTGAGCTGCATCTCCAAACATGGCACTTTTTGGCATTGGCATTGGGGTGGCAGCTGTGTGGATGATAAGGGGTGGGGTCAGGCTCTTCTTCAGCTCCGGGAGGTCGCTCAGTACCATCACTGGAAGTAACAAGGAGTTTTTAAAGATACTGCAGCTCTAGGAACATTCAATAAACCATCATTCTCCATCACCCTTCAGGTTGCATCCAAAATCAGGGTGACAAAGGACGCGATGGCCCTAAAGGAGCCAGCTCTAATCAGAACATGGGCCAATAACACAATTTCACAAAAAGGAAAGAAGTCTTCAATTAATGGGACAAAGGAGATTTTTAATGAGTGAGTGGGAGGTTGGGTTTTTGTTTTAAAACCAGAAATTGAATGGCACAGGGGCTCAAATAAACTTGTTTACAAGATCAGCAGCCAAGAACAGACATTGATTTGTCATCTGCTGCTTCAGGAGCGCCAGCAATCTGCCAACCATGCCTCCCCAACTTCCCCCTTCCATTAATTTCTTTCGTCTCCCCCCACGCTTTGCTCCCCACAATGTCCCACTCTCTCTTCCTGTAAGCTCTTTCCCTGCTTCCTCTCCCTATGCTCTTCTTCCCCAGTTCTCTTCCCCTTCTGTACTCCTTCCTCCACATTCTTTCAACTGAAGTCCTACAACACTGCTGAGGGTGCTCTGCGGCCCCACACTCTCCCTCTTTCCCCCTGAGCTTCGATGCCCCCAGTTTCTCCTCTTCCGACCTCCCCAAATCTTCTACCTCGTGGACAATAAATATGTCTCCCAGCAAAGCCCACCCTGACCATTCCCTGTGCCCGCTCTCCAAGCATTAGTGCATCACAGCTCTGCTGCCTGTCAAAGTGCTAACTACAGACAGCAGCTCCCTGCTGTTTCCTTCCCCAGTTATAAACCCCATATCCATAGTATATGGGCTGGTTCTTGGGCTTTACTGGGAGATAACGGACTAACACCATTACATGTATTTGCCTTTGTGTCATGTTCCATGACTCATATTTGAAATCAGTTATACCTTGACAGAGTCTGCAATGGCCCGAGATACTGCTTAAACACTTCCCCAAGAAGGGCTTTCCTCCTTTGGACACGTTGTGTCTCCTATCAAGTGAAGTTGCCTAGAAGGACTAATTTCCAGTGTGGTTACTTACAGGCTGGGTTTGACAAGTTTTTCTTAAGTCCACCCTCTTCTTCCAGGCTATGAGGGAAAAGATCCCCCTCAGAATCAGACTTAGAAGCATCTCCCTAGAGCAAAACAGAGCAGCTTAGCAACCAGGATAATTGGCTATGGGTATGGAAATGCCTTCTGAACAATGGGTCCCATCTCCAAAAACACACCTACTGATCTACTGAAATTAGTACCACAATGGGACATCACCTTCCACACAATGAGGCATGCACATATTTATACCACATACTGTTAACTATACTCCCAACAGGCAGAGCTACCCGAAAAGCAGCCAAGGGCTGGGGTCAGAAGACAACCACTTGACCTCCTCTGCTGGAGTTGCACACTGGGCAGACACTAGGGAAAGGACATAAACCTGATGAATGTTCTTTGGATGAAAAACTGACCCTCCTTGTCCTTGACCATTAATCCAGGGATGGGATTAGAACTGTTTACATACAAGCACTGAACACAGATCTTTCCAGTGAAGCTTAGAGGAAATAATCCAAACTTCAGCAAGTGGGATAAACAGTGGACTGTAGGTTTCAGCAGATAACTGGGGTCTGTCTCTGAAAAGTTACATAAAGTGCCATAAGAGCACTTGGTATGTAATAGAGCAGATTCCAAAGGGAGACAACGCAAAACAGCGAATTAGGCTTCCCCAAGGTGTCCATTTCACCCAATACTAAGTGGTATAACCATCCTATTTATTTAGGGGGGGTTGTGTCCTGTTGTACAATTTAGAATGCCAGGAGTTGATGAGGGGTTTCTCCTTTTGATCTTGGTCTGTCATCAGAAACCTATCCAGGAAACCAACTCGAGTATCCCTTGAATGGTGTGTTAAATAAATTTACCATTGCTCAAGGCTTCCATTGCTTATTGGGCTCTGCCAATGCCTAGCTCAGACAATGCTCACATCTGACACAGACCGAATCAAAGCCTTCCCAGCTCAGCCCTTTTTGATTCTGTCCATTGGCACTGAGGAAAAATACTTAGGGTGTGGTATAATCGCAATACATCAGCCAGGAATGGAGCTTGCCAGAATTATTTCCACCTGAAGGGGGGTGACTTACTGCTGAAACCATTATTCTGGCAAAATGGCCCCCTCCCTTAGTATGATGTATCTTGGGGAAGGGAAGGGGGAAGAGTGGAAATGCAATGACAAGAAAGAAGCCAAGCAGAATCTTACTTTAGCTCTAGGAGAATCTAGGTGCACAAGAGAACCCAGCACCTACAGTGAAGACTAAGGTGCACCACTAGCCCTGGTCCACCCTAATGAAGTTTGGTGCTTGGGTACATGTTTGATTTTAAAAGCCAGAACAGGCTCTAGCTAGGAAAGTGCTAGAGTGGCAGACTGAAGGAGATAACGTTCAATACAAGACCCAGGCCTGTGCTCCTTACTCAGGCAAAGCCCACCTAGAAACTCAATGGGAGTTTTGTTTGACTAAAGAGTCCAGGGTTGGGCCCACATTCTCAAAGAAAAACACCCTTTCTTTGGTTCAGCCTAACAGTTATGTTTTCTCCAATCACACCGTGGACTCTCTCAGAGAAGTGTCATCACAAAAACAGAGAGCGTGAAAGGAAGCCCTTGCCTTTTAAAATTTCTTCCTGTCCTGCAGGATCACCCTGTTATTTGAGGAAACTCACCCTGCAAGGCCGGTAGTATTTTAAAGGGCCAGGACTGCCACTTTCAAGAAGGAATATTAAATTAACATTGGCTTGAATTTAGATGAATTTTTAAATTCTCTGCCTCTTTATTGGAATGTGGACTTCAAGTATTCTCTCCCAGAAAGCCTGCCACTTCATTTCTCCTTAATGGGTCATTAAAAACTAATGAGCAATGCAAATAGGTTTCATTACTTAATTTGTGTTCCTCAAATATTCTGTCACTGACAAGGGGTGCACTCTCGGGTGCGGTAAGAGATGCACATTAATAAGGAGGAGCAGGACCACGCGGGGATTGCAAACTTCCGTCCCCACAGCACCAAACCCCATCATTTTGAAGCATCCCACTCTAGCTGTAACAGAATATATCATCACCCCCTTTAATACAGCGTGTGATATATTAAGTGCGGCTGCAGGCAAGCATCTCACCGCAGGGCCTCGTGGTCATTACCTGTTCTTTTGCTCCCAGTTTGCCTTTCTGGATGGAAAAGGGTTTATGAGAGAACATGGAGTTAAAATCCCTTTGAAATATGAGAGAATGTTGAGATGGACCATATGGCACAGTGGCTATATCAGCATGTACGAAAGAGGGCAGAATGTACCTGAACACACTAGAAAGTGCCTTTGTGCTAAAGTAAAAGCCAGAGCTTCCAGGACAGAAAAGAAGTGATAAAGGAAAGATGCATGAGAAGGGAAGGGTCAGGTGGGTAAAGGGCAGGGGAGACAGGGTTTGGTTTGTGCTCGGTTTCATAGTTTCACAAATTTTAAGGCCAGAAGGGACCATTATGATCATCTAACCTGACCTCCTGCATAACACAGGCCAGAGAATGTCACCCAGCGATTCCAGCATCCAGCCCATAAATGCCTGGTGGAGCTAGAGCATTTCTTCCACCAGTGACTACCGCAGCTGCCTCAATGCTAATATTGACTTCTCCAGAGCACAGCGCTCTGACACACAAGTGTCCACAGACAGCCTTGATTCTAGGTCCTTTCAGTCTTTGGCAGTTCTCGCCACTCCGCCACATGCAGCTAGAGGGGCTGGGGCAGACGTGCATGAGGTGGGTGAGGTTTTGTCCGGAAGCAGGGAGCAGCGTGCATGATCAGGGAGGTGTTTGATAAGCATGCCTGGGAAACAGCATCATCCATGCCTCGGGTTTACAAGGGGCAGGCGGAAGGGGAGGGGGGTTAAAAGAGGCATCGAGGCCTGTACAGAAAAGATGCAGGAAGCCAGAACAGTTTCAGGTGATACTGGGGAGTCTGTGTTGACTTGTCTGACTCCACAAAGAAGAAAGAGACTTAAAATCAAGGCTTGCTTGACAATGATGACAAAAGGAACGACAGCTACTACAATGAGAACAGCGTCATGGTGTGTGAGCAGTCACCACAGAGAGAGACAACTACCAAACGGCGCATTTGGGTGGGTTCATGCTGAGTTCTTACGTACCACCGACGAGTCGACAGGCAGCTGAATACAGCTTAACTGCCCACTCGCGTCTTCTCGCTTGGTGATTTCCTGAAGTAAAAATGGGGGAAGGGGGGGGGGTTTGATTTTTTTACAATTTCAGCATCAAAATTGAGAGTGGATCAAAAAGAGAGAGAGAGAAAGAGAAAAGGAAGCAAAGTAAAAAGAAAAAAGGGTAGAGAAGGGTAATGTGTACCCATCAGTGACAATTTCATACCAAGATTAAAAAGCAGAATAGGTCACAACACACTGGACTAGTCAGATGCGGCTGACTTTGTTCAGTGCAAGGAAAGGATGAAAGATAGCGCAGCCCTTAGAAGAGATCATCCTTACCTTTAAAATAAGTGTTTCAAAAGGAGTATTTGATTTAGCTCCAACGTGAGAGCTGTTCACATTAATGAAATACCGTCAGATTATTAAAACCATGTATGCTCAGGTTTTTTGTGGCTGCAAAATGAGATCTGTATTTATTATGCTGTCATTAGGCAGCAATGCATGTTTTTAATTAACATATAATACTGATCCCGTTAAAGCCAAATGAAATAGCTAGTTCAAGGGAAGCCATCAGAAACTTTTATAGATTAGATATGTTGTTACTCTGACTGGGCCCAATCAAATCTCATTGAAATCAGTGGGCACTTGATCTATTGACTTCAGTGGGTTTTGGATCAGGCCCCGTGGGTTGTGTCTGAGTAATGACTCTAGGATTGGGCCCCCAATACCTCAAAAACAACATTTTCATACCTACTTTATCCTTTTCCACTTGGAAAACACTTATCAGTACTCCTCTTTGCATTTGCCCTTCCATACGGAAAGTTGACTTGACAGACTTGTGTTTACTTCTCAGCATATTCAAGCATGTTTGGAGACACGTGCAGCTTTGGGAAAGCATTTTTAAATTCAGCTGCACATTACAGAGGCAGTAAGAGGAGTTTGTATATTATTTTTGGTGTCTCTCTCACCTATCACACTGAGATCTTGGCGCAGGTTATGAGCTGAGTAAAATTTTTCAATCAACATTTTGCTATGAAAAATGCAGATTCAGGTCAACCAAAAAAACCAAACCAATGTTGTGTATATTCTGTAGGTTTTGGTGAAATTGTTTCAGTCAAATAAAAAAACCGAAAACCCTAATTTTTTTAAAAAGCAAAATGTTTTGTTTCAACATTTTCTAAACAAAACATTTTGACTTTTCCTTTTGAAATGACTTTTTATTTCAAAATTACCTTTAATTTTAAAAAGGGAAAGAAATCTCAATCTAAGCACAAGGTTTATTTGACCCAAAACATTTTTTTTATTTTTTGATTCACCAAACAATTCAAAAAAATGTTATTTCTGTTGAACCCAAGACAATTTTTCCCTGATTTTTTGGAATTGCCAATGAATTGAAAAATCCATTATTTGCACAGCACTTGCTATGACAACTGGGCTAATTTCTTGGCAATGAGGTACTGGATTTTGCATCCCTCTATACATTAGAACAATATTTAAGAACAGCAAGTTAAAATTTGGATCCAAACAGGGATAGCAATGTCTTTCCAAGCATATATTGTACATATAATTTAAAGTATTATCAAATTTGATTCTAATAAAAAGACACATGAATAACCCAGCAAAAGATTAAACACACAATTATCCTTCATAAGGATAATCCCAATGAAACTGACTAGAGTGTAAAAAGTAAAGGACGTGACAAAAATACAGTACAAAATCTAAATAATTGATGAGTGAAAATTGATTGTTTTCTTCTGTTTGAGTCCCAGGAGAAGTCAAGGTTCTGTTGTCTCAGACTGTTTAGCCATGGTCTGGTACTACACCACAGACTCTGGGTTTTTATCTTTGTTAATGTATAAAGCACGCAAGTGTTCTGCATTCATACACTACCCCGTCCTCACTGAACCTTGGTTGCCTTGTGATGGGAAAGGTGGAATTAAAGAACAACAGACACAAAGAAGGGAGATGAGACAAACTAGCAACTGAGGATTGCCAGAGACAAGAAAAGAAACCAAAGGGAACATGAAATTGAGAGGATTACCAATGGAAGAATATGCTTCAGAGATAACATTATCATGAAGTCCCTCAGGAGAGAAGCTTTATGTGTGACAAAAAGCTCTCTTACCAGGAGTCATTGTTTGTTTCAGAGATAAATCCCCAGGGCAGAGACTGGATAGTTCACTCAAGTAATGTCGTGTTAGCAACTCTATCAAATGGAGTCACACAGCTCATCTTTCACACCTTAGAGCTGCTGTGGTTTCAGGCACAAATTCTGAATCTAAGTAATTCACAGAATGTACATTAAAGAAACCCCAGGCTGCAGAAAATCCTGTGTGTGCCCTTTGCGTGCAATAGCCAGGTTACAACGAAATACAGGGATCTCTGTTGAAAGTTTGGAATGGGTTCTTTTTCTTTCTTAACCACATATGTACATCTGCTGCTTAGCAACCAAAAGGCCTGCAAAGGCATGCACTAACATTAACAAGGTGTTTGCAGCTGGAGGAAAGGCACTCAAGGATTGGAGAGATAAAGGCAGGAGCAACACACTCTGTGAAGAAATCTGAAGGACAATGAAATTAAAAAAAAAAAAACAAATTACCAGGAATAGAGGGTCAAGGACCCAGGAATGATCACCTGAGATAAAAGGTTTCAGAGGAACAGCCGTGTTAGTCTGTATTCGCAAAAAGAAAAGGAGTACTTGTGGCACCTTAGAGACTAACCAATTTATTTGAGCATGAGCTTTCGTGAGCTGTAGCTCACGAAAGCTCATGCTCAAATAAATTGGTTAGTCTCTAAGGTGCCACAAGTACTCCTTTTCTTTCTGAGATAAAAGCTTGGTGTTATTTTCAACAGGAGATGATCTCATCTAATTTCACTTAGGAGATGGCCCCCTGGTATGCGTGGTAGCAAGAAATGGAAACATTTCTGGTTGTAAAGCTGAATAAAATGGTCAGGAGCAGATCCTCAGCTGATGTAAGGAGATGTAGCTCTACTGAAGTCAATAGAGTAATGCCGGTTTACACCAGCTGAGGATCTGTCTCACCATAACCAGCAAACATCCACTCTACCTACCTGCCTGCCTAAGAAAAACTGCTGTTGAACTGAGGTTTGTACACAAGATTTCATTTTACGAGAAGACTACAGCGAACGTCTTACCATTCGCATGAGGAAGGGGGAGATCACCATATATTACAAAAGTCTGAGACACAAAAGGGCCAAATTCCAATCATAGTGACACTGGTGTAAATCTGGAGTAACTTCATCAGTATCAATGAATAGGAATGACACAAACTTAACAGATATCAGAATTTGGAACTAAGACCCGAGGCCAGGTTTTGGCCTCAGTTACACCAGTGCAAGACTCTGATTAAGGGATGCGCTTAAGCACATGCTTAACTTTAGGTATGTGTATACATACCATTGACTTCAAGTTAAGCATGTGTGTTAGTGCTTTCCGGAATTGGGGCCTAAATCAGGCGTAACTCCCATCTTTAATGGAGTCACTCCGGATTTACAGTAGTGGTTTTAAGATCAGAATCTGATCCCTCCATTCCAATGTCTAGAGGCAAACTAATTTCCTCAAAAAACAACTGGATTTGCACTCTCAGTGAAATGCTGTTATGCTGTTTTAAAAAAGTTAGGTCCTTTTCTTTACTGGTAGTTGCAGCAAGTGATATTTCAATCAGGTGGCCATTCTAGAATCCGTGAACAAGACTGACCGGAGAGAGGTTGAGTTTCAAGTCAGACATCACTGCACAAGAGGACAAGTTGTTGGGTTTTTTTGTTTTTTTTACCCGTGCTTACTTTTACTTAGGCAAAGTACATGCCACCTCCTGAAAAGAAATCTTTTGTTCAGAAGAACATGACAGTGACCTTAACTCCATTTTCCATAACAGAGCAGACAACTTCCAGAGAGAGATGGATATAATAATAGGCAATTCAAAACAACACACTAACCCAGTGTGAAATGACAACACACATACCTACAGCCTCATTCCAGAACTATATAACAAATTATCCCCTTAAACGGCACTTGGAAAATATCAAAACAATCAGGTTGTATAAATAGCTAGTTATGGTGTGATGGATTATTATGGCACAGGGAGCTGACAAACTTTAATGTTTATTATTTCCTCAACACACGTATCCATCAACTGAGACATCGCTCTAAATTACAGCCTGTACTACTAGATACTGATGAATAGTGCTGGCTTGTACTTCCTTATCTAAGCCCTTCTGCAAAGTGTGAAGTTCTCTCTTCTCCTTCTTCATGAACATTTTTATTTTTATTTTTTTTTGCTTCTGTTAGCCTGTAGAGACCTAGGTCATAGGCAGCCCTGGTTGTCTGCTAGTTTCAGGGAGTCTGTTATATATTCATTCACCATGAACTGCATAGTTAGAAAGACACAGGGGTCAAGTTCAATTCAGATCTAAGACCTCTTTGCTGACTTCCCATAGATACTTATGGAAGGTAGAGGATATTTAACAGAGGCTCCCAGCCCTGAGACTCAATTGACAGCCTAGGAACAATGAAGTGTAAAAATGTGCTAAAGTGTCACTGAGCCGCAAGCAGGAAGAGATCCACAACACAGACCATCCAAAGAGATAATAATGTCACTAATCTCACCAGCCTGCATAACTTTACAGGGATGGCTTTTAATCTGACTCCCAAACACAATGAAGCCCTTTCAAAGACATTCTTAGAGCATTTTATTCCATCAGCACTGATTGACTCACAGCTGAATCCTTGCAATTATATTAATGCTAACATAGCTTTTCATTTAAGCTCAGTTAAACAGCCTGGTTTATTGCACTTGGTCCTAGCTAAGAAACAGAAAAAATAAGAGCTAATTTTTTCTCCCCCCCCCCCCTCTATTTAAGTTAATCAGTTTCCCTTTTGTAAATCTAAATTCCAGATGGATGTTGGTTCTAGACCCTCCCTCGCTCTGGAAACAAAGAGATAAAGAGGGGAGTCTCCAAAAGGTTTTACCTCAGTCTGGAAACCTTCCACCAGGATGGCCACCAATAGATTGAAGAGAACGTAATTCCCAAACGTCATGAGGGCGATGAAGTAGAGAGCAGCCCAGGAAGAGGTAGATGCCATGCCGTTGTAGAGGACCTTGTTCCAGTCTTCTTGAGTCAGGATCTATAGAGAAGGGACACCGTGAGCATGAAGGGACATCACAACAGTCCAACATTCACTAGTAACCCAGTGTTTGGGTTATTGACTAGGGACACTCATCTTTCCTACATGCTCTTACTTATGCTCCAGGTTGGCAGAGCTGTAGGTCTTCAGCCTTAAACAGGCAAACACCCTACTCTTGGGGAAACCAGCACGCTGGTAATATGTAATAGTAATGCTGTAAAATTGCTGCTTCTCAACAGCCCTGTAAGGGAGAGAAGTGCACTCACGTTCCAGATGGGCACAGAAGGATTGTTACTTAGCTCAGGTCACCCAATGAATCACAGCAAAGGCAGGGATAGCACCTGATTCCCCGCCCTCCCCCCCCCTTCCCCACACGCTAACCCCAAGGGCCGCAAGCTGCCCTAACTCTGTGCATGGAACTCCAGTTGATATCAAGGTCCATACAGAGCTTTAAATGACTGCCATGTAGCATGCACTGGCATTTTGTTCTCTCTGTAAAGACAGATGAAGATCCACCTAAGACTTGGAATACACAGTCCAGATTTGCCAACAGCAATACATTACACAGTATGAATTATTGCCATAAAGCAGATTCTCCTCACTATGGAGAATCCAGGCTGGCTGTCTTGCTTTGAAGCTCTCACTGGACTTGTGTCAGCCTTGCTCGCAGACCTGTCCTTTTACTCATACTAATTACCCCTCTGTCACTCCTCACAATCTTACCACTGCTCCTGCAAGAGCCTTCTCTTCTGCAGCTTTTGGCATCTCCTGGAGTTCCCCTTTCATCCGATCTCCATTTATTGTCTTGTATCATCAGAAAACGTTTCCTCCTCCCCACCCGCATTGATACATTTTGGTTTCTCTCCCCCGCAGCTATTAGTTTTATTGAGCTCTGTAGGGCATTGTGGAAAGCAAACCTAAACTCTTCCACCTCCCCCCCCACCCCTTACAGACCCAAAGTGTGTGCTTGGTAAGGAGTTCTTGCTGTTGTACCTGGAAAACAGTGACAATGGCCCACAGCAAGGAGTCAAAGTTCTTCCTGTCTGGCAGGGTGTCTCCATCTCGCTCTGAAGCAAACTTACAGCCAAAGAGATGCATCCCCAGGATACTGAGCACAAGAAGAAGGCAAGACAGGGTTGAAGATGATGTTAAGAGAGCAGCATAAAGTGGTGGACCTCTGTGTCTCAGGATACTGTCTGCCTAGCAAACAGATATTGGGAGCAAAACTTCCCTCCATGGAAGAAAGAGAGCCTTAATTTGCTTCCTGCCAACTCTCCCATTAGTATATCTTGGGCAAGGCCAGCCTTACCCCTGTATATTAGGGACAGGCTCATACGGGGTTGGATTTCAAGCAGGTTTGACTTATTAGAAAGATCGGAGTCATTTTCAATATCTGCACCTGGGTTTGGATTTCCAACACCCCCAAAGTTCTGGGCTGCTTGAATCTCAAGTGGATCCAATCCCAAACCTTTTGCACAGAGAGAAAAGGCAAAGAAATGATGCAAAGGGGATAAAAGAACCATGTGTGAATGAGAGTGACTTGGTTGGGTTTATTCTAGGCACATTCCCTTCTCTGCCCTTTGAAAGACAGTGTTTTGGTTAAGGCTTCTGGCTTGCTCTCTGGACAGTAGCAGGAACGTGATGTCATATGCTTGCTGCCTTGGGGTGATGCCCATGGAGGAATCACCCAACAGAAGGGATTTCCCTTGAGAACACCCTCACAAACACAGACATGACATTTGGCAAGAATTGCAAGATTCCAGCCAGGGGCTAATCTGCAGTGCCCATACCCGTTATGGAGGCTACTGTGCTTCTCATTCAGCAGTTCACTTCAAGAGACCACAGTCAGAGTTATTTACTTTTGTGAGCAATCATGAAACCTATGGATTCTCTTCACATTCTCGTGTAGTCCCTGGACCAGAAACTTAAAGTACAGAGCCAGGGCAGGGCATGAAAGGAAATCAGAGTCTTTGCCACATACTCACCTAAAGATGAAGATGAAAAGCATCAGTAACATGCAGAAGGTGGCCACATTGTCCATGGTCTTCATAAGGACCACTAGCTGGCGCTGGAGGGCAGGCATGAAGCGGACCAGCTTCAGGACTCGCATCAGACGGAACGTCCGCAGAACTGACAGGCCCCCACCTTGCTGTCCCACTATCTCCCAGACGCTAAGGAAGAAAAGAGATTTACAGTGTGGGCCTTAGTGTGGAAAAGGAAGCACTGAACATAAATGCATGTAGACAGCAACGAGAGAAAGGCAGAGAGAAGTGAAAGGAAAGATCCGCTCTCCAAGCTGGTGAAGCTCAGAGAAAACAGGGATGTGAAGTAGGGAGCCTGTCAGGAAGGTCTGTATGGACAGTGCCTTCTGATACCTGAATTAGTGTCAGATTTGCAAAGAGTGGAGTCCCATTAGAGCATGCCAAAAACATGCCTGTAAATCACTGAGTGCATCTGCATGCACAATTACAGTGTCCGCATGTGCCCAGTAGGCACAAAAACCCAACAAGCCATTTGTCAGCTAAAGCTATTTCGGGTCTAAACTTCCCCAATATCTGGAGGTGTTTGGATCCAGGATTTGTTGTTTAGGGCTCTCTCTAGAAAAACAAACAAAATCGAAACCAAGCAACCAAAAACCCACAAAGCAAGCCATGGCATGTAGGGGTGTGGGCAGTCATTTGTCTATACGTATGTTTGATAATATACAGTAGATGGTATAAAATATGTCGCAGCAAATTAATCAACACTGCAGAGGGAACCAGTGATGGTCCATTATGGTTCTTACAGATGGTGAAAATATGATCCAAGGATTCAAATTCATGATATTAATGATGCACAGAAGTCAGAGAGACGGGGTGTGTATACTTTGAGGTGCGGGGGAGGAATATGAAAGAGGAACTCAGAAATAGGCATAGATATGAGGGAGCTGAAAGGACAAATGCTATTAAATAAGGCTCTGAATGAGAAAAGGAGTACTTGTGGCACCTTAGAGACTAACCAATTTATTTGAGCATGAGCTTTCGTGAGCTACAGCTCACTTCATCAGATGTTTACCGTGGAAACTGCCTCTGAATGAGCTATCACAAAAAATCATGGCTGGGCACACGGAAAACTTTTGCCAAGGGCCATTATACTAAGGATAGCTGTGTATATAATAAACTACCAAAGACAGGAACAAGGTGGGTTGCTACAGAGAGTTTTCAGAAGAGTAGAGAATTTATGGAGAAACAGCAATATGGGGTACAAAAGCTAACACAGGAGCACAGGGGCCTAAGTGACCCAGAAAGGCCATTCTATCCATTATCCTCTGTTTTAATTCAACTGTCCAGTTAAGAGAAACCCTTGTAAGCAGAACACCATGCTTGTACCTGATCACTACAATGATCCCATCAAAAATGTTGTATGGATTTTTGATGTAGCCAAATGGACCATACACGAGGACTTTCAGCAGCATCTCCAGGGCAAAGAGGCTTGTGAAGACAATATTGCTGATCTCCAGGGCATTGGTGAGTTCCTCAGGCTGCGATTAAGAACAAAAAAAAAGGGGGGGGGAAGTAGTTACATGATACAAATCTACTCTCTAGAGGTGCTCAGATTTAGACCACAAAATAGACCAGGGCCAATTACAGGAGGATGCAAATAGTAATGTAAAGTGCATGTCACTAAAAGTGTAATTTATAGCTGAGTAAAAGAGCAAGATAGCAGATGGAAAAACTCCAACGACAGTGTAAGATATAGCACTTATTATAGATTATAGAGGTAAATCCACCCATTAACTCCACATTAACTACAGTGTCACCACTTTGATGCCTGGTGTGATGCCATCAACCATAGTCATTCTTGCTGGTGCAACAGTCCTTAGTAGACCATGTGCATTTGATTGATTGATACTGTAACAGGAGGAGACAGTTGTAACACTGTCCAACAGAGAAATTGAGCATTATCTGTAACTCACACACAGATTATCCAATACAGAGGGGCAAACCAGAGTGTTTTCTCATACCCATCAATTATGGGTCTATTCTTTAATTTACTAGGTATCTTAATCTTACATAAAGACTAAAGCTAAGATTTTCAAAAGTCATTAGTGATTGTAGGTTCCTAACTTGAGATGCCTCAAAGGAACCTGACTTCCAGAAAGTGCTGAGCACCCTCAATATGATATACCTTTAAGGTGTCTCAAATTGAGAACCTAAAAATGGAGGTACCCCAAAATCATTAGACACTTTTGAAAATCTTACTCTGCACCTACTCTCTAAACAGAATTAGGCAAAGATACAAGCAACTGGCAACAGGGTCTTATAATGGGAAGGATCAGGAAACCTTAATAATAGGTGGGGCTACCAGGCCTGCATATAATACTTTGAGCTTCTCTAGTGCCTTTCACCCGGGGATCTCAAAGCACTTTACAAACACTAATTAAGCCTCTTGATATCCATGTGAGCTAGGCCCCAATTATGATAAACACATTACAGAAGAGTAAATGGAGGCACAAAGAGTGAATTATCTAAGGTCACACAGTGACTCTATAGCAGAGCTAGAAATAGAACCTGGGAGCTCAGCTCTGACTCTCATTCTCCTGAGTTAAGTCCCAATCAGCAAAGTATCTAAGCATGTAAAATTTAAGCAAAGCAACTTTACAACTGACAAAATAAGAAGAGGAATATCCTAAAATTAGCTGGCAATTTAATCTGTGACCTGGTGCCACTGTAGCATGTGCTGCAGGGCTATAAATACAAGAGTTCCCACTTTTCTGAAACCATGCAAGACAGGAACAGGGGTGGTTCAAGGACATCACCGTAGCTTTACACTGAATGTGGTCACTTGCAATCATTTGTGTCTCAGTGCACCAAGATACCACAGTGAATGGGTGCTTTATAAATACACAGATTAGACCGACAAAGCGATTCTTTGCACTGAATTCTCTATCTTTGTTTCTCGATGTCTAAATCTCCACAGACGTACGCTGAATCTTATATTTCACTTTGCCTTCCGCCCTCCTGGCATAATATTTACTCTGTAAACTTGGACCAAAATTGTTCTGACATCAGAATGTAATCCCTCCGGACTTGCACCGACAATGGCAGGAGTTTGTTATAACAAAGTTAAATCCCTATCTAGTGATTGGGAAAATGGCTGTGTCCAAAAAAAAAAAAAATGTTATGGAAGGGAATTACTGGGTGTGCTTAGCAGATATTGTTTGGGCACTTCAGATCCCTCAGCCATTTCAAAGTGCTTTTGATTCCCTTTGTGACATCAACAGCACTCAGCCCATGAAAGAGGCCGGATCTCAGAAAATATTTACTTTTTCAAGAACAAAAGGGGTGGAAGGCAAAAGATTTAAATGTGCTGAAGACAAACCAGAGGGAAAGAAAACAAAGGGTTATTTACCGATTCACAGCTTGTTGTGTCACTCTCATCAGTAACTAAACCCTGGGGCTAGAGTTTGACATTACTTTTCTTGCTGATCTTAAGTTAAAATAAAACTGCTTTAACTCACGCTATTAAACACACTCTTGGTTTAAAATGATAGATGTCCTGGAACACACACACACACACACAATCATAAATCGGCCGAGAACTTGTATGTCAAGCGCCACCGCAGGACAATTTCAAAAGCCTGCACGTGTCATGAAAACTGCCAACTCATTCACAACTGCAGAGGCTCAGAGACAGCCTGTGCTGTTATTTTCATTATGGCAGCTATTTCACTATGCAAGGAAACGTGCTCTTGGAATCTTTCCTCCTCATGCATCACCGCCAGTAATTTGGAGCCTATAGGCCACAGTCTGCCATCAACTACACTTGTGCAATCCTTTGGCCATGAAAAACATGTTACAGTGTGTCTGCCGAACAGGGTTGCCCATGTATAACTGAGGGAAAAATCTGGCCCTTCAATGAGACCCCAGTGAACTCTGCTGACTGTCATGAACCAGGCTAGAACCCAGCTCCCTCTCCCATTGCCAAACTATCCACTCCTGGAGGAGGCAGGAAGAAACATTAAAAAATGCAGACAGTCAAGGAGGTGATCTAAGATTAATTACAAAAAAGTAATAATACTTTGCACTCAACTGGCGCCTTCTATCTGCTAGGGTACAGGTACCATCCCCATTTTACAGATGGAGAAACTAAGACAGAGAGAGGCCAACTGATTACCCCAGGTCACACCATGAACTAAAGGCAGACCTGCTAGTAGATTTTATGGCTGGGATTTCCCAAATTGCTTAGGGATTTAGGCTTCAAACTCCCACTGAAATTCAATGGGAGCTGGGCACCTAACTCCCTTAGGTTCTTTGACGTCCCATTCAAGCCCGATTGCTCTCTTAAAAGCAACAGCTAGGTAAACAGAGGCAGACAGCTGAGGCTGCACTCCCCACATGAGAGATGTGCATAAAGCAAGCCATTAAAGGCACCTGATCCAGGAGATGTCTAATCCCAACACATCCCGGACACTGGTTCTTTGTTTACAAGTGCCCTGCAGTAGCTTTAACCCTGGTAAGATGAGAGAGAAGTACAGGGACCTGTCAGCGGGAATCAGCCAGTCTCCCCACTCATTGACAGAAGGACCAGAAAGCATTGTTAATAATCAGCCCCCGCTCAGAAGGGCTTCACCTGACACATGCTGTTGTAAATCATCTCAGAAAGCAACATCCTAAGGTGACAAAAATCTGTAATTGGTGTCACTGCTCTGGCTGGAGTTCAAGCTGTGGGAAAATCATTCTGGAGCCAGAGAGGTGGTCTGGGAGCTGAAGTGGGGACTACAGGCGGCTTATGTTGTTTATCTGGCAGGAAAGCCATTAGATGTGAGATTTGAAAATAACCTGCTTCCTGCATTACAAAGAGCAAAGATGTCACCCTGTAGCCTGCGCCACTCATTAGTGGGCTCTCCGTATCCTCTAACTCCAAGCACTTTCAGAGCTGGGGGGGGGGGGGGTAGAGACAAGGATGGGCAGTGCAGATGCTGGGAGCCTGGTATCCCTCATACCAGCATCTATGCTATGGCAGAGGGTTTATCCTTTGCTTTCATCAAACAACGCCTGAGGAAAAATAAAATCCATCTATTTCCTCTTCCTCTGAATCCCGTCATGGCTCTCCCATGGCTCTCGACATGAACAGAGGCCACATAACAACTCTCAAGGAAAAACCACCCATATTCAGTCTGTAGTGCTTTCCATTCAGCCTTCCTTTCATGAGCACCATATTCACCATATCTTTGTTTACCAAAGTACACGTGGCCTGAGACTATCAAAGCTGCCTAGGGGGATTTGGACCTGAGATTCCCAGTTGAGGGTCCAAATCCCCATAGGCAGTTTGACCAGTCTCAGCTGTCCAGTTTCCACAAAGAGAGACATACAAAAATATGACTTTCAGAAGACTCTCCTGACATAGGATATGTCTACACTGCTGTCAGAGGTATGACCGCAGCACACATAGACCCACCAGAGCTAGCTTTGATCTAGCGAGTGCAAATACCAATGTAAAGATCTATGGATCTAGAACCCAGGGTTGTATAATCCTAGGCGGCAGATGCCTCCACATCACCCCCCAGAGAGCCAAGCTGAGCAGCATCCAACAATTACTGGATTCATAGATATTTAGGTCAGAAGGGACCATTACGATCATCTAGTCTGACCTCCTGCACAACGCAGGCCACAGAATTTCACCCACCACTCCTGCGAAAAACCTCTCACCTATGTCTGAGCTATGGAAGTCCTCAAATTGTGGTTTAAGGGCTAGGTACTGCAGGAAATGCCAGTCAAAGAGGCCAGAGTGACAGAACTCTGTGGCTGCCTGATTGGTACACATCAACTATTAACCATTTAAACCAGGAAGTTGCCCAAAGGACCCAGCTAAGCAACAATGCAGACTCTGCCTTGCTATTGCTACAGGCCTCGTCTTTTGCCCCATCTTGCTCCAGACTCTTGCCTTTGATCCTGGCCCAGTGGACACTACTGGGTGAGCTGCCTGTGCCTCGGTCACTACAACTAACACAGTGAGCTGCAGCAGCATGAACTTCAGAGTAGGCTGTACCAGCTTGCCTGGGACCCTGAATAATCACGTGAGTGGCTAGCTTGCGCTGAAGTCTTTCATGCTGTAGGTTCACTGCTATTGGTACTCACACTAGCTAGATTAAAGCTAGTAGACATCTCTCTTCACGTGCTGCAATCCAAACCTCCAGCTGCCATGTAGACATACCTTAAGAGATGGTGAACATGTCAAGTGCTCTCTTTAGAGATATTGACATAATATGCCTGGGATAGTCAAAGATTCCTGACAAAGAACCAGTTGCTAGGATATGTTGCGAAGTAAGAAAGAGAGTTACACATCCAAGACCAAGTTGTTCTTCCCCTCACCATCATAAACAAGAGGGTTTGTTTCAACTTCTCTGAGAGGGCCCTGAATTTTGTGGGAAACTGCTGATTTTGGAAAACACAAGATTTATTTGGTTTACGCTAATTCTCAGTGCAAAACATGAACCTCACCTGCAGCACAATACCACTTGCCCACCAATTAGCTTAA